TTTTTCTAAGACCCATCCATTTGCTCTAGCTAGGTGGTGGTTTGTGTAGAAAATTGTGCCACCTCTTCACACATGTTAAAAAAGTGTATAATTTTCATTCTGGCCTACAGGATGAGATAGAACAAAAATGGGACAACACTTTAGTACAATACCTCTATATTCGTGCATTAAGCTTTGTGTATGGTTGATCAAAATACACTGCTTTGGGCTTGTCCTATTTTCTTTTCAATCTTTCTTTTTTTATTGTCACAATAAAGAGCAGTATTATATATATTGATTCATTGTTTTGGTGGGCCTAATTTTTAAGTAATATTTTTACAGTTACAATATAGAGTCTTTTAGTGGAACCAGCCATGTGCATGATATTTTTTATATGGAAGTAAATAAATTGGAATAGCACATACATATTGAATTAGATGTTATGGTATATCTTCATCATTAGATGTGGATCCTTCTGATACCTAATCATGTTGATTGCAGGATACTAATTTATATATATTTAAATTTTCAGAAAACATCTGTTCCTGAAGAAGCTTAACCAGGAAGCATGTTGAGCTGAACCAATCTCACCATATGGTCTTTGTATCAAATAGTCAAGTTATACCATAAAAAAACTGCAGTGTATATGGAGCGCCAGGGAATATGGGATCCATAATATAACAAAGAATGTCCACAAAGAAAGAGGAGTTGGTTAGGTATAAAATGGTAAACAAAATTTAATAATGTCCAAACAGTCATTAAAAACACTTGTGCATACTCCCTGGTGCTCCATATACAGTTGCAGTTTTTTTATTATGGTATAACTTGACTATTTGATACAAATACCATATGGTGAGATTGGTTCAGCTCAACATGCTTCCAGGTTAAGCTTCTTCAGGAGTACAGATGTTTTCTGTTTTGGTTCATGTGGTTCATATGAGAGCTGCCGAATCTGCTATCCGTACCACTAGCTAATGCTCACCAACCACTCACGTTTGCACCTGGGTTTCCTTTACTCTGTTTTATAGCATAATAAGGAATTTTCATTGACATGTGAGAATTGGTATACAGACGCAATAACATATACAGTACATTTATCTGTCTGTTGGCATTTCTACTTTTTTTGCTGGCTAATATTTTAGTATTTTGTATAAAAAGTTTGTGAAGATTAATTTTATATGTAGAATGTTGTATTATTGAAGGTAGGCACTCTGAAAACCCCCAGTATTCTCGGGTTATTCTTTCTTTTAAATCTAAAATGGAATGTTGTGCAGTATGGATAATTTTTCAACCCACATGTTATAAACTAGTCTATAATATATAAAAAAAATTATGTATAAGCAGTCATTTTCAAAACTATTAATACATCGTAAGTACAAGGTATTAATATATGGACATTGATAATGAGTATTGGTATTGCTTAGGTTATACTGTACAGTACATTTTATCTGAATAAAAATGGAGGTAATGAGATTGAAAGGTCTAAGTACCGTAGTTTTTATTAGGTTAGTAGGGATGTGTTGGAAATGCTTGAAAGGTATAGCTATTGAAGGAGAATGTCTCAAATATGGGTAAAATAATAATAATAATTATTATTATTATACAGGAATTATATAGCGGCAATAGTTTGCTCAGCGCTTTACAATATAATGGGAGACAATACAGCAACAATACAGTTCAATACAAAAGGGATACAAGCAGGGTGGACTGACAACTCATGGGGCCCCCGGGCAATAGGAGATCATGGGGCCCCTGTGTCCTTGCCCAAACTCAAAAAAACCACAGAAAAAGGTACCAGGGGCATCTCATGGGGCCCCTACTGACCTGGGCCCTCGGACAGTGCCTGAGTTTCCAAATGGTCAGTCCGCCCCTGGATAGGAGGGCCCTGCTCCTTGGAGCTTACATAATGCAAGATGTTAAATGGGGTACCTTTGTAGACATACCTATAAAGAATAAAATAAAACATCAGGAAATCGGTGAAGAAGAAAGATATCAGAAAATAGAAAGTGGAAGGTTTGGGGTTTTAGGGAGAGAGCAAGAAAAATAGTATGGTAGGGTTGTTCATTTGGCCCCATTCTCACAAACATGAAGCATTACAGTGAATTGTGAGAAGTATTTTAAGCTTCCATGAGAATTAAATTTATAAAAAATTTTAAACTGCAGATACATGCAGGTAACAGTCACTTTGCATGTTTTTAAACTCCACAATTGACAGTGAGTGACAAAATCGGAACCGGACCACATCAAAACACATTTAAAATGGATATGTTTCCCTACAATAACATGCATTTTGGAATGCACCTATTGTGGATGAGCATGATCTGTGACCCAGACATTGATCAATGGCACCAGCATATCATATGTGACAGCACTCTTAATCAAAATAGGCACACCAATCTCCTTTTTCACAGGGATTGGTTTATGAAACCTCAATATAAACAATTTTATTACTACTACTACTGATTCTACAACTACCAATACAATCACACATTTTTCCATAACCAAACCATTTACCTAAAGAAATACAATAAACTATTACTTGCTGGCTTATATGAAAGTCACAGAACTCTGTTGCAAAATTTATTTATTTTTATGTTCCATAAAAATTCATATTAATTTATAATAACTAGCGATGTCCTTCATTTCCCAACAAAACAAAAATGACAGCATTCTGGTATTTTTGAAGATGAAATTAGAGTCAGCAGTAGAGAAAGCATTATGAAAACGGAGCAATACGTCTTCAGTGCTCCATGATTATTATATACTGCACAGACAGCCTTCAGTCAATATCGATGTGAGTCTTCAAAACAGACTGTGCACAATTCCATGCACTGGCTTTAAATCAATTTTATAAATAGGCACTTATTTATTCTATCTTAGAATATTTGTTTATCATTAATGTGACAGTTGTGTTAGGACCAGATAGAAATCTTTCCGTATTTTTCTCCATGCAAGAGAAAAACCCTCCTCATTCCCAGGGTGGTATTACAGTAGGTCTTCATTCTCTGTATAAGAGGTGAATAAATGCAGATGGCAATGGTGAGAGGAAGACACCCTTAAAGGAGAAGTACAGCCAAAGCTTGTTTGGCTGTACTTCTCCTGTGGATCATATTAGCACAGTTTGTTCTGCACTCCTGTAACTCATTTTCAGCTGATGTCACTCAACCGGTGCAGGCTAGGGAATGTTCCTGACTTTAAAGTTGGTATACACCCAGATCCTTGGACCGCCACCTGACTCAGCCTCTCAGCAATCTTCTGAGAGCCTCAGCCAGTCACTCCCTCCACTTCCATAGCCCAGTGCTTCAGTGAGTGTGGGGGGGCAGAGCAGAGAGTGATGACTGGCAGTACCCAGCTCTCTGCTTACAGAGCACTGTGAACTGAGCGATCCACTGTCTTTGATCACTCAGTTCTCAGTCTTAGAGGCAGCGGGGGAGAGATGCAGCACTGGATCGATTCTGCATCCACGTAGGTAAGTATGATTTCTAAAAAAACTCAACTTCTCTTTTAATCTTTGGATTGCCATAGTCTCAGTAGGAAATGTTTATGCTGAAAGGAAACTACAGGTATGGTAGAGAGATGTTTGGTAAGCTATACATATTTTATGGCTACACATAAGGACATAGAGAAGGAGGAGATTGTAATGTTCACCTTACAAATGTACATGTTTGTATTTGGTATAGCTACAACTTGTTTTTGTTTTAGATAACGCAAGGTAGGGACCCTTCTGGGGTTTTTTGTTTTATTTTTGCTGACTGTGCCCTGCTGGGGAGATTTTCCTTTACTTATTGTCTTGGAGATACAACAGGAAGTGGGAGGAAGAGGGTAATTCCCATGATGTAAGACAGTTGTCACCAAAACATTTGGAAGATTTCCCCTCATCTGATGCTCTCAGGACAGCTCTAAAATTTAGGATTTCTCTTCACTTTCTGCCTCAGTGAAAATGATCACCAGAACCAATAGAAGGATAAATCTCCCCACCTGGACATAGATCACAAAAAAAACTTGGCAGAGGGTGTACCCTTCCCCACTGTATCCAAAAGTTAGAAGAAAAAAAAGATTTGCCTTTACATACAGTAAAATACAGTCTACAAAGTCCAAAAAAGTATTTTTAAATAAGTCAGCAGCAGTGTTATTGTGTGCTAACTAGACCCACGTTTAAATTAAAATAGTTTAGCTGACATCATGCTCTCCACTTTGTCCAATCAGAGAATGCTTTGCATTTATTGAGAAAATGAAAAGCATTCTCTGATTGGTGCCTCTGCTGAGCAGCCAATGTCCTTTGTTCAAAATGCAGCAGAGCAGCTGGAGATCAGTCAAGTGCAGGCAAGGCAGACAAGGGGAGATCACTGGAGTACTGATGTCTACTACAGTGATTTCCAGCTTCTTGAGGGATCCCACAGGTGAGGTATACTCATAGTAACTGGGTAAATAAATGCATGCCTAGAATTCTTCATTAACCACTAGCCTACAGGGCACTTATACTCCCTTCCTGCCCAGGCCAATTTTCAGCTTTCAGCGCTGTCACACTTTGAATGACAATTGCGCAGTCATGCAACACTGTACTCATATTAAATTTTTATCTTTTTTTTTAGACAGATAGAGCTTTCTTTTGGTATTATTTAATCACCTCTGGGTTTTTTATTTTTTTTTGCTAAACAAACCAAAAACCACTGAAAAGTTTGAATAAAAAATGTTTTTTCTTGTTGTTATACAATTTTGTACATAAGTGATTTTTCTCCTTCACTGATGTGCGCTAATGAGGCTGCAGTGATGGGCACTGATAGGCTGCACTGATGGACACTGATAGGTGGCACTGATGGGAACTGATGAGGAGGCATTGGAAGGTGGCACTGATGGGCATTGACAGACATCTCTGATGGGCAGCACTCATATATGGCAGCACTGATAGGTGGCACTAATAGGTGGCACTGACTGGCACTGTTAGGTGGGACTGACTGGCACTATTAGGTGGCACTGATTGGCAGCACTGACGGGCACTGAGAAGCGGCGCTGACTGGCACTGATAGGTGGCACTGACTGGCACTGATAGGTGGTACTAACACGCACTGATAGGCGGCACTGATTGGCAGCACTGATAGGTGGCACTGACTGGCATTGATAGGTGGCACTGACTGGCACTGATAGGTGGCACTGAAAGGTAGCTCAGATGGGCAATGATATGTGGCATTGATGTGCACTGGTAGGCACTGATGGGCACTGGCAGGTGGCATTGATGAGCACTGACAGCTGGCATTGATGGACACTGACAGGTGACACTGCTGGGACTACATTGATCATCAGGGCACACTGATCATCAGTGCTCTGATGATCAGTGTATATGTCCCCTCTGAGGAATGCTGATTACCAGCTCTCCTCTCCTCTCGAGCTGTCAGCGTGACAGCTCGTGAGAAGAGAAATGCCGATAACCGGCATTTCCCTATTTACATGCGATCAGTTGTGATTGGACACAGCTATTAACATGACCGAGCCGACATCTTCAGCTCTTTCCATTGATCAGTGATCCACTGTGTCCGAGGGACAGCACAGCACCGATCACCGCACTGCGCGCCCCTGGAGCCACGCATGTGCGGTTAGAGTGGGAGGATGTCGTATGACGTCCTCCCAGAATGAGAGAACCACCTTGCGCCCGTCATTACCTTATATAGTGGGTGGGAGGTGGTTAAAGAAAAAAATATGGAATTGGCCACTCTGATGACCAGTAGTTTATGCAATAGAGGCAAAACTTTGCAGATTTGTGTTTAACTGTTGGCTTCTTAGCTTGCATAAACCCAGAATCTCACATATACACAAACTTTCTGATAAGAAATAGTAGTAGACAAGTCAGGTGTATGCATGTTAGTCAACCATTCCAAATTTATTTGGCCTCAGTGGCTTGTAAAACAAAGAAAAATTATGAATACAAATGCTTATGGCTGTAGAAGCTCACTATGATAGGCCGCATTACACCACAAAACGAAAATAGCTATTATATGGGATAGTTAAAATCCTCCCTTGTTGTCTTACAAATTAAAATGGGTTTCTATGCCTCTCCTGTGTAGTAAAGAATATGCATTAGCAAACGACTCATTTGGCAGAATAACTTGTCTACCCACTGAAATGTCAGACAGGCAGCCAAGAGCCTAATATCTACGGGGCATTTGTGGTAGTTATGTTGTTAAACTGGTAATCAATATTATTTTTTCATACAGTAAATACACATTAGGAAAAACTCTGGCTTCAGTGAGTACTTCAAAAACATTAATAAACCACAAGTGAATTACATTGTAATCTTCTACGAAGTATGTAAAAATCCTAATAAAACAGTTTTTTTAAAACAAACTATGCAACAAGGTAGATAAATACTATCAGTACAAATTTAACACAAACCTTTTTTAAAAGATCTTCCAAAAAATGCTACAGGGTGGCAGGGGTGCACAAAATCACGCCCTACCCGCACCATCATTCGCAGCCTTGGCTGTCAGTCACGGGGTCCCGGCCAGTGATTACTCACTGACACGCGGTGATCGCCGAGTAATACCGATGGGGGGAGAGAACTGTATGTAAGCTCCAAGGAGCAGGGCGCTCCTAACCCTCTTGTATTGAACTGTATTGTTGCTGTATTGTTTCCCGTTATATTGTAAAGCGCTGAGCAAACTGTTGACGCTATATAAATCCTGTATTATAATAATAATAATAATAGTATGTAAACAATACAGTTCTCTGCCCTGTCAGCTCCAGCACACTGCTTGGTATGGCTCTGCGTAGCAGAGCTATACAAAGTAGTCTGCTTACAGTGGAAAGCACACACACAGCCCCATAGTAAAACACACACAGCCTAACAGTTAACCCTTTGATCGCCCCTGATGTCAACCCCTTCCTGCCCAGTACAGTGTCAGTGTTTTTTATTAGCACTGATCACTCTATTGGTGTCACTGGGGATGTCAGTGACACCAAATCAATCCCCCCAGTGTCAGAATGCCGCTGCAGTCTTGCAGTCCCGCTATAAGCCTCTGATCGCTGCCAAAACTAGTAAAAAAAAAAAATAAACAATTTCCAGTACATATACTGCCATTTGTAAATGCTATAACTTTCACATAAACCAATTAATTTACACGTTTTCACATAAACCAATTAATTTACACCTTTTGGGATTTTTTTTTTAGCAAAGACATGTAGCAGAATACATTTTGCCCTAAATTTATGATGAAAGTTGATCTAAAAAAATTTTTTTTGAACATGTTTAATAGCAAAAAGTAAAAAACATTGTTTTTTTCTCAAATTTGTCGGTCTTTTTTTTTATAGCGCAAAAAATAAAAAAAACACATAGGCAATCAAATACCATCAAAAGAAAGCTCTATTTGTGGGAAAAAAGGACATAAATTTCATTTGGGTGCAGCACTGCATGACCGCGCAATTTTGACAGTTAAAGTAACGCAGCACCGTACCGCAAAAAATGGCCTGGTCAGGAAGGGGGGTAACTCTGGAGGGCAAGTGGTTAAGAGCCTGTAACAAATACAAGACAAAAAAAATAGACCAAACAAAATAATTCCCCTATCCACACTAAACAGCATGGATGGCCGAATTTTCATAGACCAGGTATTATATTCTGATAACTGTCAACCACAATAGTCAGAAAACCAGAACAGTGCCTGCATCTGATTGGATTCAGGCTCTGTCCAGTGAGAATTGTCTTCCCAGCTACTTTAACACATGCTGAACGACGGGCCAGGCAAGGTGTGCAGTGGTCAGACTATCTCTTCCTATTTCTACAGCGTAGATTTGAACACGGTCTTTTCTAACAAACGATTAAAGATGAAGAGGTTGGACTCCTTGCATCGTATGTTAATGAGGATAGATTTGGACAGGCTCACTCTAAAGTTGAGTATATACAGTTTGAATATTCAGCAGGAACTGGCAGACAATTGGACCATGTGCACAGCTGTCCTTCCAACAAAAGCTGTTCTAAGGACCAGCTTTTGTCGAAGGGACATGACGCGTTTGTCTCTGTAGAGCTGATTCATCACTTCCCATAGTAAAAACACAACCTAGTGTACACCAAATCAATAGCTAGGCACACACTTAACCCTTTGATCACCCTAGATGTTAACCCTTTCCCAGCCAGTGTCTTTAGTACAGTGTCGAAGGGACATGCTGGAACCAGCATCCGATCAGTGCTCGCAGTCAATGCCTGTGAGTGCTGATTAGTGTGTTCTAGCATGGGGGGGAAGGAGTCCCCCTGTTAGAATACAAAAGGACAGCAGGAGAGATCGCTGTACTAACATTGCTTAGTTAGTACAGGGATCATTCAGTTTTTTTTCATTCAACCCACTGAGTTGGATGAAAAAAAAAAACATAATGTGTGTACCAGGCTTTACAGAAATGTTCAGAAACATGACACCACCTTCTGGGGAACATCTAAAAGATAAGAAATATTTTTAAAACATTTTTTAGGCATGCTGTGTCAGTGGGATCACATAAAAAATATGTAGTGGGGTTTTCTAAAATTTGATTTGACTGCCAAACTGGAAACATGCTTTAAGTACGTAAGTACAATGGAGAAATCTTGCAAGCAACATAATTATAAAGCAACATTTTATTAGCATTCTGAGGGACAGAAAATGCAATATCCAGAGGAAAATTTCCATAAGCAAATTTAGAGGAAAATCAAATGAGCCTCATAAAATGCAAATAACTATGACAAAAACAAAAGTTTTGCACTTTTACACAGAGGCAAACTGAAAACCTGTGAAATATGAAAAGCAGCCTAAAGCTCCAACTGTTGGTTCAATTAGTAAAGTAAAATCTGAATATATTTTATTCATATTGATCCAACATAACAAAATAATAAAATGTCATAACTGCTAATCAACATATTTGTTCTATGTATATGACTCATCACGTACGGAGACCATTGGATGAGCATGCCAGCCAGGAAACTAGCATGTTCATATTGAGAAGTCAGCATGGCAGACTCTATAGTAGCTCTGTACTGGTTTCCTTTAAGCTGGCTTTTCATATTAAAAAACTACGTGTAATTCCCAAATGATAACAATAGTTGCAAGCATCATTATCACATAATACTGTACATTTTCCAATTTATAAGTAAACCTCTGTCACAGGTTGTTTACTGTAGAAAGGAAATGGTCCATTTACCATGTGCACACAGTTGAGTGTGGGTAAAAGGTTAACAATTTCCAGTGAACTTAAGGAACGTAGATGCATTGTTCTTGACAGAGATTTGTTCATCAATGATTATCTTTAAAAATACTCTTTTAGACCCCATTCACATGTTGTAACCACCAAAACATGCCAAAAAATGGTGTGTGCAGCATGTTTGCCAGTACAATGCACAGTAAATGGCATCAATGAATTTCTGCATGCTGTGCTGCACTGTAACCCAAGTGTGTTGGTGTATTGGAATGCTATTCAGAATAAATAAGACTGCATCACACCAATGTATTCAATACATAGTACTGAACATTACTGCAGAACAAAAGTGTGAGTGGAGCCAGATTCTCCAAAACTGAAATAGCAGTATTACAGCTAATGATTGCAGGTGAGAAAAGACGGCAATAGCTTTTATAGCAACTACCATTAAAACAACCTTTGAGAACAGTGGAAAAAATGAGCTGCTGTGATAAGTAGGAGATAAAAAAGGACCAGATGATGTTAATCCTAAATATCACAGAGAAAGTACTCTTTAGGAATGATGTAATTCAATAAATGTTAATGGATGTCAATGCTTTTAGCACCAGAGGGGCCATTTTCACAGTGGCCATTATATGCTAATATAAGTAGATTTCCTAGAGCATACTATTGACCAGTTAAAAATGTCATTGTTTGGCCTTCCCACAAAAGGAAAATGAAAACTGACAGCTATAGCAGTTCATTTTTCCCTGCTCTAGTTAACATATAAGATACTGTATTTTTATAGACTGGTTAGTTCTTCACATAAAAATTAAACTGTTTCTACTGTCTCTTACTAGCTGAGGATGTGAGAGAGACATGGTCTGCCAATGCTGACCTCCTTGTGAAGTTGCAGATTTTTTGGGCTATTTCACTGACCCTTGAGCTTTTATAGTTTTTGAGTCACTGACCCAGGACATGTGTGCAGATCAGGAAAGTCAGAGAAAAGTCAAACGTCCTTCTTTACATACTAGATCCTATGACTCAAACAAAAGGTAAAATTAATTTTTGAAGCAACAAGGCTTTAAGGCACATTTATTCAAAGAGGTTTGAGTTTGTCAATACCATAGGTTCAAACCTGGTTCTTGTGATCTAGGAGAATTCATGATTTGCTTTTTTTTTTACTATATAAAAGAAAAATTACCAAAACTTGTGAAAAAAAACTGATGTTCTGACTACCTATTGTATTTCTTAAAGAATGAGGTTGATTTACTAAAACTGGAGAGTGCAAAATCTGGTGCAGCTTTCCATAGGAACCAAAAAGCTTCCAGGTTTTTTTTTTTTTTCAAAGCTTAACCAAACAAGATGAAGTTATAGACTGAATCGCTGCCATTCACATCTGTACCAGATTTTAGA